GTACCTTTTTAGAGAGATTTTGGAGGAATGAGGATTGTGAGAGGAATTGAAAGGAGGAGTGATATATATAGACTTGGAAAACTTGAAAACATCATTTCGCCTCGGTAACCGTGAAAAACTTATGGGCTACAAAAGCCCATTACCGAAACATGCCTCTTTTTTCGAAACATGACGAGGTGAGGCTGAAATATGTCTGTGTCACACGGTCCTCAGGAGGCAACGTTCAATTTGAGCTCGGTTGGCATAATCACTTGAGCTCAGATTGACGCGGTTGTCTGACATTCATCCGGAAGAAAGTGTGACAGGACTTTGATCTTACCTTCGGAACAATTCTCACCTCGGTACCATCGCACTCTATACTACCGAGTTGGGGGCTAACTGTGGGGGTCGGATTTCACCCTGGTAAGATCAAAGATGAAAATGACTAAGTGTGGAGACTGAGCCGGAAATGATTGTACGAACCCAGCTATCCGGTATCTGACGAGGTTACATATCCCACGAGGTGGATTGCACGACCATGCTCGAATGACAAGCCTGGCGAGACTAATGGCACTACCCAGCGGGAAGGATACACCTGCATTGGAGAAGTGGGCCGACATAACCAAGAAGCCCAAAAGGCAAGCCCGCGACAAAGTAAAGCTCTGAACGTGACAAGGCGAGCTGAGTCCAAGACATGACGAGATGAGCCGAGCGGGTAAGGTAAGGAAACTCTAAGAGGATAAGGTAAAACTCCCTGTTTTTTAGGAGGTTAACCTAGCGGACCTCGTTTACTATATATACCAATGTATTTCTCTTGAGAAGGGGATCCGCAATTCAATTCTTTACACCGAAACTATTGTATTCTTAAGTTTTGACAGAAACAGCAATAAAAATCATTTTCAATCCTTTGTGTTTGTGATTTCATATTTGGAAGACTCAATCCTCTTGAAACTCTTGACAAATCTAGTTGTGCAGGTTCTACCATCCACCGACCATGGCGCAAGGACAACATGAAACTCTTCGACGTTTCATTGAACGATTCAAAAGTGTCCTCATAAGAGCTTTATTCAAATGCAAAAACAAAAGTAAAAGGAAGAAACTTTAGCTTGTTTTCAAGATCAAAATGATTTTTTGATTAACATGAAAAGATAAGAAGGAGGTTGCTCTTTCGGCAACCTAGATAATGGATCATTAATTCATTGATGTTCACTACAAGC